CTTTCAGATTTCAGAATGCTTGTGGGATACGGCAATGGTTGTTACATGCATAATTAATTTCAATTAGAAAATAAACTTTTGAACGCCTTTAGAGTACGATTACAAAGACTTGCTTGTTAAAGTGCTTTGTTTTTTCTTTGTACTCTTTAGGTATGGCTCACAGCTGTCATGTTTGACCTCTGCACAATCTTTAAGACATTACAGAAGTTGTTTCAGAAATCAAACTTGATTCTTCCAGATGTGTTAACAGCAAAAGATTCTGCTATGCAGAACTTGAAGATTATGAATGACATACCAGTTCCAGGTGGGAAAGAGGAGCAGAATTTGGAGTTGCACGATAATGAGCAAAATAGACCTGTGAGACGAACCAGTACAGCACATCAGTTTGTGACAAGCCAAAACAGGAATAGCAATGCTATAAGGAATGAAATTGTGCAGTCCGCCATCAATTTTCTTGGGCAACGTATGAACACAGAAAATGATGGCACAGTTGAGAGTTTGATGAGTATTCTAGAAGCATCTTCATCTAAGGACTTAATTTTGGCCAGTAGAAATCTTGTTTCTTCGATTCTTGGACCAAGCTGCCTGTCAGATTTTGTCAGTGATGTTTGCAAGTCATGGAACACCCTGGCCAAAATTGAGCATGTTGAGGTGGAAGACACTGGAACTATGTATGCTCTTCGCCTTAGGAAGATGATACAGGCAAGTACTGGTTTACTTAAGAAATTCCTAGCATCTTTTCTTACCCTTGTCCCTCACAGCATGGCAACTGAACGAGTTGTTTCTCATTATAACAATGTGAAGACATCGGGCAGGTCTTCGCTTAATCCTGAGACAATAAATGGTATATTGCATATTTCTCTGAATGGAAAGGGTGCATCCTTTTTTGACCCAAGACCAGTGGTATCAGAGTTCTTAACTTCGAAAGAAAGAAGAAACCGAGAGCCGTGTGAAGAACTGTACAAACAAAGGGAATTTGTGAAACATTTCTTCAAGCAAGAATCCGGATGTCTGTGATTCACAGAAGCATACAGTATATCTTAAATATAACTAGTATGATACTTTTTAAATACAACATTGGTTGGTGAGCATACTTAAACTTGTTGTGTTTGAATCTTAATTTCAAATTATCACAAATTTCACTTTTAAAAATTTCCTTTGAGAACCTGAGATTTCTTTAAAAAGTGTTCTCAGAATGCAGGAAATGCTATTTCAGAGACCAAAATTTTAAAAAATTCCCGAGGGCATGTGTTTAAACCCACCTTCGGTGTTCGCGTACTATCCAGGGAAAGGGAAAAAAAATGGCCTGGGCCCTTTGGTAGTTTTGCCCCACCACTGAAGAATCCTTAAAAGATGCCCTGCCTTTAAAAATGCTTTGTCATTTGTATTTGTACTTGTACTGCATCACAACGCAGTGCGTAAGCGAACAGATTCCACATGTGAGGTTGTCTTGTATATATTTTTGCCTTCTTTGATAAACATTAAACACGCAAATTTAGTGAGACGCACACTCGCACATGTTAAATGTCACCTGCATGTCATCGTCATTGCCCTTTAACCCCTGGTCTAAATCATATGATTATTGAAGCGGGGCCGTTTTGACTTTGGGCCGTTTTGACCTAGCACCGTATTTGTGGGCAAATTGTCTATACAATTTTATATACTAGATATTACAGCCATACTTGCCATTTTGATCTTTTCCTCGCGTTAGATAAGTTGATAAGTATACTCATTCTTGTTAGCCATCGTACCTGTTCGGATGTTCCTCTTTCGGGTATGACTAAAGGGAGAGTTACCAACGGAGAGTTATCTCGGAGAGTTATGATTTCAGAGAGTTATGTTCGAACCACGCCCAAACCATTCCCACTTTCCCCAATGACCACACCAAATTTCTTAACTCTTCCGACGTCTCCTTGAACTAACATGAGAGAGTTATGTTTGACCTAACTCTCTCTCTCGTTAACATTATGAAGATGTTAGAGAGTTATCATTTTTTATAACTCTCCGCGTTCACGATTGTACGTGGCAATGAAGAGAGTTATGTCAGTTTTTTTGAGAAAACCTTAGTAAAGCTTGTTTCTTCAGATTTTCATCTTATATTTTGGTATTTCAGTTTGTAGCGTGTCAATAGCGTGCGTCCAAACAGGAAATAGTGGACTCGGTCAAAACAATGAGATTCTACCCCCAGAACCATGCTTTGACGTGTATTTGGCAGTAAATACGGTAATCATAGTTGCAAGAAAATTGAAAAAATTAAGAAAATTGAATCTTTCAGCAATTCAGGTTTTGGAAATACTTTCCCAGATCAGCCAATAGGGCATTACATTGGAAAGATTTTCTAGTTCTATCCAATACGAGAGCTGTACCTGAATGCTGGGCTTGGTAGATAATCCAAGTGAGCATGTAATAATTTATTTACTCGTACTCACTTCACTTGGTTTGTACTAAAATACTTCTACTTTCTACTAGCGTGAAATGTTAAAGCTGAAACTTGAGAAAAAAGTAAATTCACAATAATTTACTTTAATGTGGAAGTTTTCTTCCAAAAACTGACGGACATAACTCTCTTCGTTGGCATTGCCACAATCGTGAACGCGGTGAGTTATAAAAAAATGATAACTCTCTAACATCTTCATAATGTTAACGAGAGAGAGTTACGTCAAACATAACTCTCGCATGTCAGTTAAGGAAACGTCGGGAGAGTTAATAAATTGGGTGTGGTCGTTGGGAAAAGTGGGCGTGATTGGAACATAACTCTCCGAAATCATAACTCTCCGAGATAACTCTCCACTTCATAACTCTCCGTTTAGCCGGTCCCTCCTCTTTCGATACGAAACTTCGAGCGCCGAGTTATCATACGGCACATTCAAGTGTATAAATTATGGATGATTCCAATTCATTACGAATATTTCTTACTCTTATTCTTTAAAATATTAAGAGGCAATTTTTTTTCAATGTCACGTATTTGCAATGAAAAGTGTTCAAAACCTAAAATCTTTTTGGCGTTCCTCTCAAAATTACTTTGTTTTAGCTTTATTCTCTACAGTTTATAGAGTTAGCTACCTTTTTAAATGCGTCCGCCGGTTGAGAAACATAAAATAATAGTTAAAAATTGCCAATTAAAATACAATTATCAATGATGCCTTAAAATTGACGCTATATTTACAGCCATTTAGCAAAACATACTGAACTTCAGACATCATTTTCTCTTTGGCGTATCATCTAAAATCTCTTCATTTTAGCATTATTTTACAGATAAAGCACTAAACATACTTTTTAAGTTTTTTTTTACCGATTGAGAAACGTATCGAAAATAAAAATTTTGATTTTAGTCATAATCTCATGTGGTATATTATACGCATTAGGTTTGAGCGCGTGTTACGTAACATACAAAAAATCTCATTTAAAGATTTGGGAACAATGCTATTCCAAGGCAGCATTCACTACCCTGTGGGTAAACTAGTTTAAACTTAGTATACACTCAACCATGAACCATTACGCGTACGTAAGTGTTCATGGTTGAGGAAAAAGATGGTCAAAAATCCTTTCACCGAAGAAAAAAAGCTAGACTACAAAATATGATCCGAAGACATTTAATGGTAGGGATTACATTTTTAAAAACCGCATTTTAATAGTAAATCTCAACTGCTGCTACTTGCAAAAATATGTGGGACGAAGACAGGCCGAATTGCTGAGCCTTCTTTGTCTAAAATGTGATTTTATGTTTATAACAGTAATATTTTTAGGCTTCCCCCCCTTTAAATGTTCTTTTTTGTGTGCTTCTACATTTCCCGCAAAAAAACAAATTTCCTTATAGCTTCCGAATTTTCAGTCTATAAAATTTTAATGTTAAGTTTTGTCTAGGGATTTCAGCTAGTGATAGTATAACATTTTTATAGTTATTTTATGATGTATTTCATTGATTTCAACGTACGACATTAGGATTGCTTTGCGTGTATTTTATACTTCTTTTTAACGTAAACGGCTGCAACATCGATCAAAGTAGACTCGACAATAATAATGATGATCATGATGACGGGGATGATACTAAGACTAACGATAATGAAAATGTGAACCCTCTAGACCCAATTACTCCAACCACGGATCAATATGAAAAGGTTTACCCAAAACTCAAGGGATTTAAAATAGGGCATTTAAATATTGCAAGTTTGGTAAAGCATAAAAACGAATTATTGGTTTTTCTGGCTAAACTCCCTTTTGATATAATTTGTATCAACGAAACTCGACTTGATGACTCATGATCCATAGACAACTCTGAGGTTAAAATACTAGGTTACAATTTGATAAGAAAGGATAGAAACCGCAATGGAGGAGGAGTGGCTATCTAACTAAGGGATGTTATTCCCTATACTAATGGAGCTGACTTAATTTCAGTTAATGCAGAGGCAATTTGTCTTCATCATGAAGTTAAAAAACTGAAAGCTAAGCCAGTTCTAATTAGTACTTGGTATCGTCCACCAGGTTCTAATATGGAATTCTTTAATGATTTTTAAAATTTCATAAAAGTGATTGACAATGAAAATAAAGAAATAATCATAACAGGTGATTTTAACTGTGACATGCTGGACAGCAACTATAGGAATAACAACTCCAAACGATTGGATGACCTACTAGCTATCTACCAACTACAGCAACACATTGATAAGTCAACCCGAACAACTGACTCGACAAAAACACTAATAGACATTATAATTACAAAAAGTGACGACACCAAAACATCTCATTCAGGAGTGATTGCTTTGGGAATAAGTGACCATGATCTGGTGTATATATGTAGGAAAATAGGAGTACCCAGAGAAAATCCGAAATTAAATAGTAGAAACAAGGCAGTTTAAACATTTTAACGAAAACGAATTCCAATAAGACTTAGCAAAACCGTTTAACTACTTTACATACAACTCTGATCCAAATCTTGCCTGGCAGGAGTGGAAGAACATATTTTTGTCTATTTCTGACAACCATGCTCCCTATCGTACTAGGAAAGTTAGAAACGAGCATTGCCCATGGTTGGACAATGAAATTAAGAAACTTAGCTATCATCGAGATCACCTTACAAAAAAGGCAGTGAGACTAAATTCTGCTGCTTATACCGAGGCTTATAAAAGATGCAGAAACCAAGTTACCAAACTTATTAGGGATGCAAAAGCACACTATTATAAAACAAATCTGGAACAATGCAAAAATAGTAAAGATAGCTGGAGATTTATTAATCAGTTACTCAACAGGAGAACGACTACAATCAACCAGATCACAGTTAATGGACAAACGATTACTGGTAACGATAATATAGCAAACGAGTTTAACAATTATTTTTGTGAAATTGGCCCAGGGGCGGATCCAGGGGGTATCGAGTGTAGCTCAAGATACGGTCAGATTTTTCCGATTATGCATACTAAAATAGTTTTGGGGAAAATTTCAATATTAATATATTTTCACGCAAATCATTTCTGTTTACAAAAATAGTGAAAATTTGAGTTTACTAAGATGAACGAGGGCAAACTCTTTCGTAAATTTTAAAATTCACAGCTCTAAATGTAACATTAGACGTGTTTTTAAAGCATTGAATTACTTTCGACGAAGATGAGCCGAGAACTTTCCGAAGGCATAACCCGAGGTTACGTAACCCGATCGGAACAATGTTTTTAAATGCGTCTGCGGTGTTCTGATACGGTCCGCGGTTCAAATGTTACTAAAAATAGTAACTTAATGAGGTATTTGGATACCTTGGAGGGTATCCATCCAATCACAGGACGTGTATCTATGACGTCGGATACCCTCTGATACTGTGGCTGTATTTTGATTGTGCAAGAAATGAAATAATCGTGAACCGCTCGGAAACTTCGTCTCATATTGCTAACAGCCGCATTTCTTCTAACGTAACTGAGCACGAACTGAGTGCATGAGTTATGGCCTTACATAATTTCAGAAGACGTCCTTGAAATAACACTTTATAAATAGTGTATTGGATGCCAATTAGAACAAGACTATTACGAAAAGGATATGTCCAAAGGGGCCGAAGTTATGTTCGGCAAAAGGTATGGCTAGTTTACATTGTTCGAGAAAATCGAGTAATATAGTGAAATATATGATATTGCTTGACCTCTCAAAGTTCATAAATCGCTATAGGCCTATTGACTAAAACTATCATTAGGAATTAGGAGATATTCTTTCAATGAACTGAACGGTAGTATTTTTGTTTTCATAGCATTCGCCTAACCGAAGATATTAATCTGTAAAGTCATATTGCGGCATTGCGCGTGCAATATGTTATTAATTTAAATAGGGACCGGCCGAGAATATTAAATGTACTCAGTCACGAAAGGCGACTTTTCCATGTAAAAACACCCCTGGCAACGTTTCATGAAACAGAAACTTGAACACTGATACCAAGAAGAGTTATTGTGTGTTTTTTTGTTACTTTGTGTTTAAAATATGACCTTGTTAAGGCCAAATTTTAGGTCAGAATCATGGGCTCAGAACGCAGGAAATGGCATTTCCGGGGTTCAAATTTCAAAAAATTTCGGGGGGGCATGGAATTCGAGACCTAGGAATATGATACGGTCACATTTTAAGCTAGATCCGCCCCTGTTCAATAGCACACAAACTGAACTCACTTGGCACTATATAATTATTAAAAACTCAATAACAAAGTATACTATCTTCAGTGACAATGTCAAGTTTTTTAAATCTTTTATGTTTATACGCAGTGCAAAAAGTGTTGCCAACAATGGCCAAGTCAAATACCTGTATGTATGTTGATCATTCTTTGGGTTTGAAGTGAAGGGTCACACTTAAAATCATCAGGAAACTTAAAGGATAATTATAATAACCACACATGTAGTACGGCCAAGGTCCAATGGATGAATTTTCGGTAGGATTATTATAAGAGGTTCCTTTGCTGATGGTCTTCATAGTATATACATACACAGAAGCTAGTATAAGGACAAGTCAAAACACAGTATTGTGAAAGGTAAGAATACTTTACTAAGAAATAATTGTTTATATATACGGTGTACTTGTTTGACTTTTACCGGCATCAGGCTAAAATCCAGCTAAATTACGCTTTACCTACAGTATATAGCTTTTTGTATACACTGCTTGTAGTCTAGGCCATATGGAACGGTACAACATATTTGATCGATATTGAGGAACGACAAAAGCCTTCTATGAAGAAAACAAATTACTAACATGATTATATCTGTTTCAGTTTAAACAGTACTTGAATCAGTAAAAGTGTGACCACGTTGATTTTCCAAGCCGTTGTAACTTATTGATAACTGAATGCATGCCTAATTTCTCAGTACTCGAGCTTTCATTCAATTTCTTGGTGTAATTTCGCGGATGAACTTTATTTTTTAGGTGTATCAGACTCATATAGCAACCTTTATCCAGATTCGAATTACGGTGCATGGTCTGTACCATAAACGTATATACCGATATAAACGTATATACACTAAAGCATGCGCGGGGGAAATTATCATTCAATATCAATTAATTATCACACAAAGATCACTGAATATTTATCACTCAATATTAAACATATAAGTGGACAAAATAGTGCTGATAGTTCGGTTGCTCAATAAATTCACTGGGACAGTTAGCAGTGTAAGCTGGATTACAGTAGCCTGTCAGATTCCTAATGATGATCCCACTAAATACATAAATAACTCCCAAATATCAAGTTTGGAAACTGGGTACTAGTCTGAAAACACGCTTTCGACAGCTCATAACTCAAGAAGAACTTGAAAAACCCTGGTAACCTGTTTAGTTGTCTTATATGTAGTTTTTTTTGCAAGCTTTCAAATGATGTAAATCATTTGTGTTAGAAGTATATTTGAAATTTCACATTTTTGAACTGTAACAGAGTTTAATACAAAATTCGAAGAAAAACGTGTCGGCAGGAGCACGCAAGAAATTTTAATGCAGCCAACATACAGAAACGTACTTACTAGCCTTTAGGGCACAATATGAAGGCAAAATGGAATTGTCCCACAATATGGTAAGATTTTTCCTCTCATCTGCCCGACTAAAATTTGAGCATTGTCATTTGTTGTCATGAGGTTTAATCTAATATTCATTTCCTCGAGCTGTTTGACTGATTTCGTCCATAAATACAGTATGTGCTTGTCTTAAATAATTTTCTTGTCTTGTCTTTGTCTGTAATTTGTCTTTCTGTGTCTTCTGCCTCGTCTTCGTTCTCCTGTAAAGTCGCTCTCAGATCGTGGTTGAAAACAGCCTCGTTCGCTACCTTGCCATGCAAGGTTCATGCAAGGACCTCGAGCTTTGTCAGCAATGTCGACTGACAAATCTGGGAAACACTTATTTCAGGCAAAACACATTCAATGTGGAAAGAATGACCACAACTACGAAATAGTTTCCACAGGGGGGCTTTCTTTCTCGCATTCAGGTAAATCGTACTTTCTATGACGTAAATATAGTAAGTTACTTGCAACCTATTTAGATATACTGTCTGTCCGAATTGCTTTTTTTGTTTTTTTTAGATCTTTGTTTCAAGAATTTTAACTGTTTGTTTATAGGTCCCTTTTCTTTAATTTTGTATAGAATTAATGAAATTTTCTATAGTATAAATCCTTCAGTTTTTACATGAAATTTGCATGGTGTGTTCTAAAAATCTAAATTAGAACAATATAAGGCCACATAAAAAAAAATAGTTGGTTAGCGTCCCCGCCCGCCCACAAAAAAGGCCCCGCTCAGGACTTTTTTTTATTTTTTATTTTAAAAAAACCCCGACTTTTATTGATCAACGGGCTCTAATATATGTAGTATTTCTGTTGACTGTAGTCAATTGTGTTAATAATTTGCGAAATTGCGTGCGAAAATGACGGTATGAATTATATTTTGAAATATATAAAAAAATATCTGTACTGCGCAAGAAAATCCAGTTTCGGACCTAACAGTAAGTAAAACCAAGGCGTTAAAAATTAGTAAAAATTTAAAAAAAAGCGCCCGCCCGCCCACTTTTTGGCAAAAGCCAAGGACGCTAACCAACTATTTTTTTTTATATGGCCTAATTAGAATAATTTAGGTACATTTTCAAACATTCTTTCATTTTGTAACAAGTACTATATTTTTATGTTATTTCAGTTAATTTTTTCTTTCAATTATGTGGAAAATGGTTAAATAAGAAGGATAACTAAAGGACATTAATTTTGTATGTTTGAGTTTAACCATTAAACCGTGACAATAAAATGCACTGCTGTCAGACAATTTTACTGAACATCTAGGTGAAAGTCTTGTGGTTTTACAGTGGTTTAATGGATTAACCAAACAATCTATGCACCCTACTTTATTATTTTACTTACTCGTCAAAGGGAGAGTGTTGCAATTTAATTTTGTTTGACAGCATTCATAAACAGATACCATGAGCATGCCCCCCTCGCGTCCCCTAACCCTGTTTCAATACTGGCAAGAAAATTATGCACTCCATGTTTGAAACCGTGTGACAGTATATTGTGGCATTCCATGAATATCCCGTTGAAAATTTCCACTCGGTCCTAAGAGCAAGAACAAAAGAAACAGATTCAGCTGACCAGATTGCACTCAAAGCAAAAGAGATTGATGCATGCTAGCCTGCTCACAGGTTAGCTAAAATTACATTGTGAAATGTCGTATGAGTTAAATATTTACACAATATTAACTCATGAGGCACTTCTAACCAATGGGAATTTTGCATACGCTCCGTACGCATAAATCGACTTCTTACTAATAAAGGTCGCAGGCCGTTCCTCCCAGCCTCTGCCTGACAACGGCCTGCGAGCAGGCTAGATGCATGCAAGCATGAACTGCATTCTTTTAAGTCTGTCTTTGTGCCAATTAAGAGATTCAACTACAGCTCAAAGAGAATTATACTCAAAGAGAAGACAAAGGCTGCAAAATTTCTTGCAAGCAAGTTTGAATCCCAAATGACCACCCTAACATGGCAACCCAGCAACCCTGAGTTCGACAGCAACCCAAATATCTAGATCTGACCAAATGGAAACTGCCAACTCTATTTGGAGAAAAAATTGTGAACAATCGAGTCCTGCCACCAGGCTTTACTTCTGTTCAACAAGCTCCAAATCCAAACAGGTAAAGGAAAAATATCAATATATGGATTATGGTGGTGGTGGGGCGGGGGGGGGGAGGGGGGGGGGCTTACAGTATTCTGTTTGTGAATACTGTCAAACAAAATTAAAGTGCAACACTCTCCACTTGACGAGTAAGATCGTCTGGTGTTAGACATAGTATTTAAAATAATAAAGTAGGGTGCATTGTAGTTTAATGGGTTAACAATACATATTGGCAGATTGTCATTAGTTAACCCATTAAAACAAAAGACTTTTACCTAGATGTTGAGTAAAATTGTCTGACAGCAGTGCATTTTATTGTGGTTTGATGGTTAATTAAACTCAAACATACAAAATTAACATTATATCTACTTATCCTTATTTAACCATTTTCCACATTCAAAGGGGAATTACATAAAAATATAGTACTTGTTGCAAAAATAAAAGAATGTTTAAAAATGTACCCAAATTATTCTAATTAATATATTGTTCCAATTTTAGATTTTTAGAACACGCCATGCAAAGTGTATGTAAAAACTGAAGGATTTATAGAAAATTTCATTAATTCCATACAATTCTTGAAACAAAGATCTAAAACACAAAAAAAGTAATTCGGACAGACAGTCTATCTAAATAGGTTGCAAGTAACTTACTTTATTTACGTCATAGAAAATACGATTTACCTGAATGCGAGAAAGAAAGCCCCCTGTGGAAAGTATTTCGTAGTTGTGGTCAGTCTTTCCACATTGGATGTGTTTTGCCTGAAATAAGTGTTTGCCAGATTTGTCAGTCGACATTGCTGACAAAGCTCGAGGTCCTTGCATGAACCTTGCATGGCAAGGTAGCGAACGAGGCTGTTTTCAACCATGATCTGAGAGCGACTTTAGAGGAGAACGAAGATGAGGCAGAAGACACAGAAAGCGACGATGAAAGTGAAGCAGACTGCGATGATGATGAGCACGAGATCCAGCCAGAAGATGGAGAAAACGAAAGGGCAATCCATACATTGCTGCAAGGAATCCGACATTGGAAACGACATTGAGACCAAGATAAACACTGTGCTGTAGCTTATGGTTCCACCTATTTGCACTGGCACTTTGTCTATAGATACTGTTTTGATGTTTCCTCATTGAAAATTATTTAAAACAAACAAGCACATGCTGTATTTATGGACGAAATCAGTCAAACAGCTCGAGGAACAGGCGCGTGTATCGAGAGTGAACAAGAAACCGGATATGACATTCCACTTTTATTATCACCGCCCAATATAACTTTTTGACGCATTTCTGACAACACGATCAGCGGTATAGTACAGTAAATTATACCAGAATATGCATGCACTATAAAACGGAAGAAAAACTACAAAATCTTCCCAATGAAAACAGCGTTATTTCTCAAGGATCGATCGGTTTTGAAGATATGATATGCAGCTACAGAGCGCAATCACGGCAGTAATTCAAACATCGATATTTCGCGTTCTTTGTCGAAATTTAAAAAGTCCCACAACAAAATTCAAGATATATGTATTTTCTATTAGAATCTTTCGGTTTCGGGTAAAAAAGTTTATATTGTAGCTCACGGAAGCCTTAGATTACGATAATATTTGCTCGCTCTTTTTGTTTACGTTTTTAAATTTTAAGCATTCTGATTGGTCAAGAGCGAAAATGTAAACAAACGCGCTGATTGGCTTAAAACGAAATCTGCCCTTGTTGGTCTAAAGCGTTTGAAATTTTATCGGTTAAATTTAGTAAGGCGTCTTCTGTAGATCTATTTCTTCAAAAACTATACTGATGAATTGATAATATGTTATGTTTTTCTACGTAGTTAAATAGTCGTTTGTACATAAGTTTTTCTAGTAATTTTGAAAAACATGTCAAAACTGATATTGGTCTGTAATTTTCAAATTGATTATTTTCACTAGAGTCACTAGAGTTATTTTTAGAAAATTTGGAATTTTCCCAGTTAAAAACGTTGAATTATAAATATGTGTTAGAGGTTTAACAATTTCTTCTCCTATTGTTTTTATCATCTTGGCACTTATTTCATTGTGGCCTGCGCTTTTATTTCCATTTAAGTTATTAATTTCAGTCAGTAATTAATGTTCTGTTACAGGCTCAAAGAACATACTTTCGACATAATTACCACTAAGGTACCTTTCATGTAATATATTGGCGTTCTTCGGAATTTTTTTGGCTAGTTCAGGACAAATTTTAACAAAATATTCATTAAATTTGTTAGCAATGTCAATGGGATCAGTAATGTTCCGATTTGAATTTTTCTGTAAAAAACTGTCGGGAAGTTTTTCTCTAGTTTTATTTCTATTTAGAACTTTGTTAATAGTTTGCCATGTCATTTTCATATTGTTTTTGTACTTCAAAAATTCGTTTTCATAATAATTTTTTCGCAGTTTTAATAACATGATTCAGTTTGTTTTTGTATTTTTTTGTACACTGTTTCATTTCTATGAGATGGTCTTTTTAAAAAAGTTTTATATAGCTTATATGGACCTAAAAACACCACCTGTCATCCCGGGAATTTTTTCATGATCAAAAGATTTGTTTTTCATTTTTACAAAAGGAAAATTCTTATCAATTGCTGCTTTTAAATTATTATGAAAAATGTCATAGGATTCACAAGAATCATTTGTTTGAAACGTGTGTGACCATGATATATTTTTAACAGATACTACAAATGAAGCGAGACTGTCGTTGTTCACAATGTTGTTCATCACTCTTAATTTTTTAAACAACTAGATATAAATATTAATAAATACTAATTAATGTTGCAAATATAAATATTAATATGAGAAATTTGTTATACTAAATTGTACAGATCAATTATAGTTTTCACGTATTGTTTAATAACAGGTCAAAACAAAACATAACCTAAAGAAAACCATTGCAATCAATTATAACAAACACAAGCGTCAAATTAATCATTCTACCTCCATATTTAGTGACCTTTGTTATAAACTCATCGATTGCGCCCTGATGTGCCCTACTTTGTTATTTTACTCTGTCTAACTCCAGATGATTTTACTTGTAAGAGCATGGCACTTAATGGGTTAAACCATAGATAACCATAATTGACATTTAAAGTTAATTACATTAAAATTGGCCTCAAAACATAGTCCTCAAATAAGAAATGCCATGCACTTGTTTGTCTTCATATGTATTTAGATTACAGTATTCAAGAGTACTTCATTGTAGAATAGTCCCAATCAAAAATTGAAAACATTAATTGCACTTGAAAGGAAGGAAACATTAATTGCACTTGAAATAAAAAACAAATAATATTTAAGTCACACTCAATCTTCACGAAATGTTTGTTCGCCACCACAGCAACAACAAAACTAAACATATTATATTTATTGTATTTTTATGATAAAAATATGCAAATGTTTAGTGTTTTTATCATAAATCATGAAAAGAAAATAAATATAATATATTTAGTTTTGTTGTTGCATGTGCTGTGGTGGCAAACAAACATTTTGTTAAAATATTCACCCCGTGACATGTATAGGCCGTATTCTGTGACCCCAAAAGTCGCTTAGAAAACAAATTTCGTTGCCCCCATTCGGGACCTACTTTTAGTTTACATGAATCTACATTTTTAGTTTACATGAATCTAGTTTTTGATACGCTGAGTACGAATTCACTTGTTGTCACTCGCACAGACCCGCAGTTATTTTGTATTTTACGATCAAACATCAACATTTTTTATTAAAATTTCCGCCATTTTGTTCAGGAAACTTCATGTTATATACAGTTATTGTACTAGTCCAAGTCTCTTAGCAGGGGGGTTGCACGCGGTATTACGCAGTTTGTTATCATTCCTCTGAGAAAAATATACAGAAATAAAACAAAAATATAGATATTTTTCCACAATATAAATGCAAAAGGTCAGTCTACATGTTTGTAAATACTTAGGAATTAATCTATTATTCTTTATTGCATCAACTTTTGGGTTTTTTGGCTCATCATGATGTGAAATTGCAAAGACTGTCGCTATATCCACAAAGACTCACTTTTGTCATTGGTAAAGTTGTTTATTTTACTTATTACTGAAATTATGTACATAATTTTGGCCTTACAATATGAAAAGGCAATTTTCCTGGATACTGTCTACATGGAAATTTTGTCAACAATAAAGTTTTGAAGGTTTTATCCCTCAGAGAGATTTCAAAAGAAATTTTAACTTTGAAATCTTCTAATGGGGTGTTTATATGGAGGTGAGCCAGCCCATGCAGGTACCCATGGCCAAGCTAGCTCTCTTTGCTGAGCTGATTTTATCCCATGTTTACATCATAGGCAGCCCAAAACGGCGTATAGAATGCACCAAAAATGCTTCCAAATGTCAATTTGCATTAAGCTCGCCCCATTCCTTTGTCATTTGTCGCGCGCCGCAAGCACTCAATTTGAAAAGCAGTGTTGATTGTGTTGATATATATAGATTATACCTAAGGTTGGCAACTATATCTCAACTGACCAATATACCACTTCAGCAAAACGCAAAATACTTCGTATACGTAAATAAAACATGATAAAAAATTATACCACATTGAACTCTGATATTTTTTCTACATACCCGCATATAAATTTTGTTTTCAAGACTGCAAGAAAGATGAAAAATTTGCACAAACGTTTCATGGTCTGATGAAAATTTTGATGTGACTATGCGGGATGCCAGAGGTTATTTCATTCGTCATATTTTTAAAAAAATTATGTAATTCAATTGGTTGAAAAAATAAACAGTTCGTGACGTATTTATAGTAAAAATTTGGTTTCAGGGGGGGTTGAACTACAACAGGAAGACTGCTAAAATACAAGAGCGATTTTTTTTCGAAGATGAAATGGCGGATTTTAAAAACTTTTTACATCCATCCATAACTTTTATCTACAGCAAAACAACCAGGTAACTTTTGGCTACATGTACACGAAATGTCATGAAATTCTGAGCAATAATGGCGAAGAAAATGTGCTATAAACAAGACGGCGCGATATGCGTACACGGTTCAACACGCTTCGCTGTGAACCTCAGAAAAGTTATAGGTATGAACTTATTTTATAGCGTTTTTAATACTGTAACTTGGAACAATAGGTTGGATCATTTATGTTTTCCTAGTAATCAAGTGTTCAGTATTAAATAGGTGTTTGTACTGGATTTCTAGTTATAATTTTAAATAGCTATATAGCAAGAATATTTCGAAGTGAATTCTGTAAACCTGTTTTTATATCACTATAAAACTGTTTTTATATCAAAACAAATTTGCATTTTACCCTGTTTTATTTATTATCAGTGTAAAAACAGTATTCACAGTAATAGTTATATACAGTCACTAGTTTTTGTTAAAAACTAACTTTTACTTTAAAGTTTAAACTAAGGAGATGTTTAGGCTTTTATTATAGAATACATATTAAACTTTCAGAACTTTGATACAAGCTGTTTTATATATAAATGCAAAATTCCATGCTGGGGTAAAAAATAATGCTAGCACTCTTACAAATTGCAGCCTATTTTGTGAAATACACATATCCAACCATTTATCCAACCTATTGAACCAAGTTAAATTAAAACGCTTTAAATAAATTCACTTATATACACTTTGTCGAGCAAGGTTCACAGCGAAGCGTGTTCGCATATCGCCGTCTTGTTTATAGCACATTTTCTTCGCCATTATTGCTCAGAATTTCATGACATTTTGTGTACATGTAGCCAAAAGTTACCCGGTTGTTTTGCTGTAGATAAAAGTTATGGATGGATGTAAAAAGTTTTTAAAATCCACCATTTCATCTTCGAAAAAAAATCGCTCTTGTATTTTAGCAGTCTTCCTGTTGTAGTTCAACCCCCCCTGAAACCAAATTTTTACTATAAATACGTCACAAACTGTTTATTTTTTCAACCAATTGAATCACATAATTTTTTTAAAAATATGACGAATGAAATAACCTCTGGCATCCCGCATAGGCACATCAAAATTTTCATCAGACCATGAAACGTTTGTACAAATTTTTCATCTTTCTTGCAGTCTTGAAAACAAAATTTATATGCGGGTATGTAGAAAAAATATCAGAGTTCAATGTGGTATAATTTTTTATCATGTTTTATTTACGTATACGACTGTATTTTGCGTTTTCCCGAAGTGGTATATTCGTCAGTTGAGATATAGTTGCCAACCTTAGGTATAATCTATATATATCAACACTGCTTTTCAAATTGAGTGCTTGCGGCGCGCGACAAATGACAAAGGAATGGGGCGAGCTTAATGCAAATTGACATTTGGAAGCATTTTTGGTGCATTCTACACGCCGTTTTGGGCTGCCTATGTTTACATGAGACTTTTGAGGTGGGCTGTCTTGCCAAAACAAATTACTGGTCTTACCACTATAAATAGTATAATATAAGTAAACATATTTTTATTTTTCAAGATCTCACCTAGGCAGGCCAGATCGGTTCCCATTTAACCACAAGATAAATGTTAGTATAAATCACATAGCGATGTTAGATCTCGGCAAAGCAAGCTAGCTCAGGTATCGAATTATTCCGTCCTTGTACATCTCTAGATGGGCTGACTCTCCTCCATATAAACACGCCCCCCCCCCCCAAGAAAATGAAGAAATGTTATTTATATCAATAGATTGATGTGAATTATGTATTAATTATTTAATGCTCAGCTGTTATATCCAAGATCTAAGGCTTGGAAAAGAGTCTTGGCCAGGCAGGCCAGCCCAAGAGGAAAGAAGGTTTATTTAACTAAGGCATATTGGTAGGTAGTGATGCCAAATTACTTTAAATTTCTATTGTCTGCCTGGTCAAATATAAAATATCCCTGAATCTCCAGTAGTTCAGTTGGTAATTAATGGCAGCTCAAATAGGATTAGAGCTAAGGTGATGATGGATCATGACAATATGTTGTATTTAATATTTTTTTACACATTTAAACCTCAAATGGCTCGATCAATTAATGTTTCTAGATGGTATGACTTTGAGATTTGCTTGTGTGAAATTATATAGTTTTTTGCTTAGCTGCTTTGTTCCAGCAAGCCCATGCTTCCCTCAACAGTCTCACATAAATTGAATAACCAAGCTAGGTTGTTATATGGTAGCTGTAATAATTTGGGCTATGTCCTGTGCAGCCACCATTTGCTAATGTAAATACTTAAATAACAATAAAGTAATTAAAGAAATATAGCTAATCTAGGTTGGGTTGACCCCATATAAACAGACCAAAAGTAGGCGGCTGTCTGTCGTAGTGAAAGCCATCTTCCAAAAGTTTTTATTTATAAAGCTCAATGTCCCATAATAGCAAAAATGTTATTATAAAACAAGAAAATGGAACTAATTATGTGCAGATTTATTAAATAGATGAGTTATTTTTATTGAGGTAAACTGCTACTAGGCTATAAAATTAATGGGCAATGGTCTACAAATAGGTCTAACATTTATTAAATAAATATATTGTGCTCCTTATTCATTGTTGACAAAAATTGCCTATTCACATTGCAAGGCCAAAATTATGTACATAATTTCAGTAATAAATAAAATAAACAACTTTACCAATGACAAGTTCTCGTCTTTATGGATATAGTGACAGTCTTTGCATTTTCACATCATGAAGAGCCAAAAAACCCAAAAGTTGATGCAACAAAGAATAATAGATTAATTCCTAAGTATTTACAAACATGTAGCAGTACCTTTTGCATTTATATTGTGGAAAAATATCTATATTTTTGTTTTATTTCTGTATATTTTTCTCAGAGGAATGATAACAAACTGCGTAATACCGCGTGCAACCCCCTGCTAAGAGACTTGGACTAGTACAATAACTGTATAATACAAAACATAATCCGAAGATAAGCATCTTGAAACCCAAAATATGAGTCAAACAAAGCGAGTGAGTAATATTTCGATTTTATTACAAAATCATCATCAGACTAACTAAAGTTACAATATACACATGGTCTTATATACAAGTTGGCAAGGCATGATGACAGCTTAACGGAAGTCTCAATCAGAACCACGACAGTTGCAGTGAGATGTAAGTGTGATGAAATGTGGGTGTATAGATTACAAAAAAAGCTAGAGTTCTTTGCTGGCTTTGAGTCCAGTGTTTAAACTGGGTGAATGATACTTGATATACAGAGCTTCAAGCAACAAGAGTAAGTTAGGTGTGCGAGAATAAATAGTGTGAAGAATTCGAGAGTTGTCAGATATTAAGTTGGAAATAAAAGTGGAAACGTTATTGTCAGCATCAGTTGGGTTGTTAAGTTTGTCAAAAACAAAGTGTAGGTTTACAATGTATTGCACATGTTCGCAGTTGTGAAAATGCTGTCCAATAGCACTTTTGGTCGGATTGGTATGTTCAGCGAGTCGCGTCTGTAAACGTCTTTCTGTTTTCCCAATATACGTTGCGGAACAGCCAGGACATGTCACCTCATAAACTACATTAGATTTCGAAAGATTCGGAATTTTGTCTTTGTTGGAAAGGAAATAAGAAAACTTTTTGTTGTCATAAACAACTATAAAATTTACAGGAACAGTTAGGCATCTTTGTATTTTCTTTATGCAACTTTTAACTAAAGTTTCACCTTGTTTACCAAGGTATGGAATGCGAACCCAAACCCAGGGACGCCGGAACGATGTGAAGGCAAGGGGGGCAGATTTTCGTGTAAGGGCACTTTTGAAATGATATATACTAAGAGATATTTACAAAACATTGGGAGTTGAAGTTCGCCTAATCATGTTTTCTATTTATTCGATGATAGGGGTCTGAGGGAGTTCTCCGCCAGGCGATTGTGCTATTCTTGAAGCTCGGTGAGATGATGACTGCATTTCTTGCGTTTTCCGAAGCAAATTCGTAAAAGAATCGCACTGACATTTCTGACAATTCGCTATTTCGCCAATGCAATCCTTTAAATTGAAAGGGCACCTTTGCCCCCCTTGCCCCTCCTGGTAAAGGGCAATGGGGGCGGCTGCCCCTCCTGCCCCCCCCAGTTCCGGCGTCCCTGCCCAAACCTTAGGCCTAGTGTCGTTTTCATCAAAAAAGTTAGTGCGAGGTCGATCCGCTGAAAATTTGTTTTTTAGTTTAGATATCGATAAATTCCTGATCGCACGAGGAAAGCCATTCCAGTTGACTGGTACTGCATAATTTTGATGCTCGGTGAAACAAAGATTTACACCAAGTTGCAATTAAATACCAACAGTCTTTGAGAAGATTGGCTAAGGCACAGTTGGATTTGAAGTCTCTTTATGACTGTAAAGAAAATCAAGTCTTTCCGAAGTTCGTGCGATGGAAAAACCTCAACCGCATGAAGAAAAGGAATCAACAACGCTACTACAAAGAACTCGCATGTTGGCAATTTGACGAAGCAATGTGATGAGCTCAAGCATGAACTATTTGGACAGACTACGTGGATGAAATTCCGACTCATTTGTTTTTCGTTTAATCGTTTACTCAGCATCGAGAAAAGTAAGATCACTTCCCGACACGATAGAAAACTGAACACCCTAATTGAACTCAAGCAAACGGCGGATGCGATCGAAGAGAACCCAAATGACACCATCATAAACTTGTCCGGCCGCACTCTCTCATCTGATGAAATTGACGTACTTAAACTTGGATTAAGACACGGACTAGCAACAAGACCTAACCAATTTGAAATAATGGCTGTATCGGAAGACGTTTGGGATAAAATCGCTCGCCTCAATAAGTTTAAAGACGGACGCCATATACAAGATAAAATCAAGAATTTGTTACGCTCCTTCACCTACAGTTGTATCGATCTAGATTTGCGGGAGTTCTACATGGACAGAAAGAAAATCAGAACACTAACTGAACTTTCCAAAGACCTATCCATTTTAAAACCCGACAAAGGTAATGGCATTGTTGTCATGAAACGCAGTGATTATCTTTCCTCTGTCACATCTCTCTTCTCTGACACTTCACGTTTTAAATTACTTGATACTGACCCAACGCCTACTAGACTAAACTCTCTACAGTCCTTCTTATGCACTCTTTTACAACGTGGTGAAATTTCTCAATCTGACTATGACTTTCTTGGACCTAAAGCAGCACACTTCGGTAGAGCACATGGGCTTCCCAAAGTCCACAAACATTACAACGACTTGCCACCGTTTAGACCTATTATTGACACAACTGGAACACCACATTATAACGTTGGAAAATTTCTCGCTAAGTTATTAAATCCATTAGCCCAAAACGAGTACACCCTTCATGATTCATTTCATGCGGTTTCGGAAATAAAATCTATACCTAAAGAGCTTTTCTCAGAAGGTTATCGCCTTGTTTCGTTTGATGTTGTTTCACTGTTCACAAACGTTCCGCTAACCAAAACTGTCAAAATCATTCTTGACCGCGTTTTTGAAGAAAAATTGATAACTACAACTTTTTTTAAACGGACTTTGAAAAAACTAAGTCTTGATTTGTGTACTAAAACCGCGTTCTCATTTAATAATCAACTTTTTTAGCAAACTGACGGCGTTTCTATGGGGTCTGCACTGGGGCTGTGCTAGCTAACATCATTCTGTCGGAATTTGAACATTAAATCTGGTGTCATAAGGTTTTACCGAAGATACGTTGATGATACTCTAGTGATACGTTGATGATACTCTAGTGCTTATAAAACCTTCGGATATTCCTGCTGTTCTTGACAAATTTAATAGTTTTGACAAAAATCTCCAATTTACAGTTGATACCTTTCCGGATAATGTAATTCATTTTTTGGACATTTTGATTTCGTCGGATAACACTGATGTTTACTACAAAAGTATGCACACTGGACAATACACACACTTTTCTAGTTTTGAACCATTTTCATGTAAAACTGCGTGGGTTAAATCTTTGTTTCACCGAGCATCAAAATTATGCAGTACCAGTCAACTATTTGATAACCAAAATGTTAAAATGTTTATGCCTTGGAATGGCTTTCCTCGTGCGATCAGGAATTTATTGATATCTAAACTAAAAAACAAATTTTCAGCGGATCGACCTCGCACTAACTTTTTTGATGAAAACGACACTAGGCCTAAGGTTTGGGTTCGCGTTCCATACCTTGGTAAACAAAGGTGAAACTTTAGTTAAAAGTTGCATAAAGAAAATACAAAGATGCCTAACTGTTCCTGTAAATTTCATAGTTGTTTATGACAACAAAAAGTTTTCTTATTTCCTTTCTAACAAAGACAAAATTCCGAATCTTTCGAAATCTAATGTAGTTTATGAGGTGACATGTCCTGGCTGTTCCGCAACGTATATTGGGAAAACAGAAAGACGTTTACAGACGCGACTCGCTGAACATACCAATCCGACCAAAAGTACTATTTAGACAGCATTTTCACAACTGTGAACATGTGCAATACATTGTAAACCTACACTTTGTTTTTGACAAACTTTAACAACCCAACTGACGCTGACAATAACGTTTCCACTTTTATTTCCAACTTAATATCTGACAACTCTCAAATTCTTCACACTATTTATTCTCGCACACCTAACTTACTCTTGTTGCTTGAAGCTCTGTATATCAAGTATCATTCACCCAGTTTAAACACT